TAGATTATAAAAAGGTTTTTAGGAAGCGTCACTGCACTAGAAGCCAACTCCATCGATCAAGCTGGCTGAAACGTTCTCTCCCTCTTCTTCTCATACTCCCTGTCACTCTCCTTTAACTCCTCCGGTGACTTTCTTTTATTTGAAGATTGTTTTTTGCCCGGCGCTTGGCCGGTTACCGCTGGTATTAAAAACATTAATGGCGAATGGTTAGGTGGTGCGATAGTCTGTAGTGAAGGAGTCGCTCCCGCTCACGGGAGCCTGCTCGCGCTCCGCTCCGCAGCAAACAGCTGTTTGCTTTTCACCCAACAACGACAACCGCCTCACGAAACGCTATGTTGTAACGTTAATAAACGAAACAATTTAACTAAATTGCTAGTCAAAATACCAATACCACAGGACAATTCTTTTTTTTTTTAAAGCAATATTTTTTGTGGCCCGAGCGGGCAAGTGGAAAGTACGTTATGCTGGCCCGGGGTGTCTAAATAGTGCTTCCGGGCCCATGCAAGCCAATTATAAATGTCGAGCCTGGTTTATAGTGGCCTAGAATTATCATAATCCACCCAAAATAACCAAAAACTTCTTTTAAAGGTCCCTGTCATGGCCTTTCTACTGATTATATTCCCACTTGTTGAGGGTCTACTAGAATAGATTTACATTGTTCAATGTTCCAAACTCCACATTTGGTGTTCTCATACAGCATCTTCTGTATTAGTATGTGTATTCACTCTCTGTCCTGAACGGCGTTGTTAGAGCTCCTGCCCCGCCCCCCCCCTCCCTATGAGCCCACTGTGGCTCTGATTGGTCACCTTGCCCACTATGTTGATGAGGTCGCACTACCTTGTACAGCCGGAACATCAGTTTTTTTTTGTTAGCAACCCAGGAAATTGACACCAGTAATGTGCAAACGGATGAGAATGCGCGTGGGTTCCTGGGTTGCCGTGTTGGCGGGACGTTGCGGCGGCTCGCTGACTGCGAGTAGCGGACAGTGTGAGCTCTGGGTTTCATTTCCTGCTTGCTGCGTGGGGTCTGTGAGACATCGCGAAGTTTGACGTGGGAAGACGGGGGGGTGCTGAGGGGGCTGCGGCCCCCATCTGGTGAGTCCCACTTAGGCACCCGCACCCCCAAACGTTGGCGCAGCCTTACAGTGTAAGAGCGCCACAGTTTCGCCTTGCAAGGTTTCCCACTAGGCACCCCACCCCCAGCGCGTCACAGTTTCGCTCGCCCATCGCAAGAAACACAAAGCAACTTGCCACAGGCCTCGATCACCGCGTTAACATGTAATCACCAAAAATGTAACCAAAATCACCTGGTGAATCCATTATCAAAAACCACATATACATGAGAAGAGATGCGGTGTGATGTCGAGCAATACCACCAGCGATTTTGGCCACCTTGGTATGTCACGTCACGTACCCAGGAAGAAAAAGAGAGATATCTTCCCTGAGTTGTTCAGTTCTGGGCGCCAGAGGCATAGGACAGGTGATATGGTTCTGTCATGAGTGTAAGAGTGGGGACACCAGCTGCCTTGAACCATGGTCGACAATCAGACGCTCTAAATGTAGACGCTGCATCACCAGCACAGCCCAAGC